TTTTACTCAAATACTCCATGGGATAATTTGTTACAGGGGTGTATATATTCTGTAAGTATGAATTCTCACACAGGAATGTTGTCTCGCTCTCATCGTCACCGAAGTAGCACAAGGCGAAAATCTCCAGTCACAACTGTGCAGTACCGAAGTTTTTCTCTGTTGGCTCGAGGCCCTGTCTTGCTTACGTGTACTCAAGATGGAAGTTTATCTTTCTTCAGGTTTGGCCACTGAACCTGCCTTGTACTTTTGTTGTATATTTAAACCACTGATAGTGAGGTTGGTATGTTGTAGTGTTGCTCTGGACATACAGGGTTATTTGACTCTCCGTTGCTCACTGAAACTAAATCCACGAATATACAGCATCCGGGCTTCCTTCTGTCCTCTGCTTTCCCTTGAAAAAGGAGAATATATAGGTTTGCATGCCAATATCAATGTTACCACATACTTCATTACTACTTTTCTCAATGTGTTTGCTGACAGTCATACTGTTACAATGCCTAGTTTCCGGAAGTGAGGATTCAAATGTCTACTTCTATGATTTAACTCGGCCAAAGCATACTTGTGTAAACAAGCTACAGGTTCATCTTTATTTTTACACAAGACTTTACTCTTTCCTATGGTATGAAATTGGACCCTAAAGACCAAAATATATCCGACTGCAGGGTCATCGATTTCCGGTTATTGGTGTTGCTTGGAACCATGGAGAGAACTTGTTAGCATCATCTGATTTCTACGGAACGGTTATTGTATGGAAGAGATCAAAGACAGGTTAAAACAAACATATACAGAGAGATTCAAGTTTCAACGTCACACGCGCGATTCCGGACTTTATAATTCTTCCATTTTCCCCCAAAAATGGTTTAAACGTTATGAAATCTCGTATAATGTATCATTAACTGTATCCAACAGATAAGGGATAGAGTGGCATACTTGTACAGGTGTTTGTATCCTTTTTGCCAAATTAACATGATGCCACCAAATTGTTTTGAATCAAGAGACCTATGCAAATGACATGTACGTTTGTAGTTGAGAGAATAAAGCTTAGTTTTCTTCTTATAAACAAGATCTTAAGTTCTGATAAGAAAGTGATTTCCGCACGCTCTTTTCACCAAACAAACTCTTATTTATTTTTTGGCTCTAGATTGAATAAATGAAAGGAGAATTAAGAGACATGTATAAATATCGATGTCCGAAAATCATTTTTCTTATGATAAGCTTATGAATGTCCAGTGTGGTTCTTGCAATAGCCCTTTCTGGACTTGAGTCCTCACGGAGGCCGATCCTTAAATGCTGCTTTTTTTATCCAAGTTTTGGCCTCCACAGTTTCCATTAGTCCTAAGATGAAGTCCCTTAATTTGTGACAGTGATCCAAAATTTGTGAAGTATATGGGGTTTAATTTCTATTGTAAAAGGAAAAACATGTTTGCACACAATAACATTTTTCCTTTAAACATTCCAAATATTAGAATACAGCCTCTGTGACTTGCAATAAACAATATAATTATTGTAGGCCTATTTTAGTTAGGGGAAATGAAGAAGGTGTGACACATGGAAAAAAGAGAGAAAAGATCAAGAGGCACTTAATAGTACATATAGCCGGCTTCCTTACCATACAAGTAATACAAGATTCAATAAGAAAGATCTTAAACATAACCCTAAACACAATATACTAACTAAATTAGAACTGCAACACTTCCCTTTGAGTATGTAAATACTCAATTAGATGGAGCATTAGGTCTCCATGGATGATGTAGAAGTGGTTGATGAAGTAGTCTCGTCTAGTCGGCAGAATGAGTAAACGCAAGTCTCAAATAGGGAATGCATATAGGAAATAACTCTCGCAAAACCTGGCTATGGTAAAATCCAAGGGGTGACAAAACACACAGTCCAGGGAGAAAAGTGAGTTAACATAATATGTCAAACTTAAATGCCTTCAGGATGCAAGTAGGACGTACACTAGGGTATGACCAGCCCATAATAGATGCCTCGTCAAAACCTCGTTAGGCAACAAAAATTCAAGAGGACAAAATGATCCTGATCATACGGAAAAGAGTACATTAAGGTCAAATGAGTATAATTCAGGATACTCTCCTTGAGTTTGACAAAACTCCCCTAGAGAACTACAAACGTTGTAACTCATACAATGTACACATACTAATTCCTTGAACAAGCTTCTGAAAGATAGACTTTGGCAGTGACTTCATGAAGAGCTTATCAAGGTTGTCTTAAGAGCAGATCTGCTTGACTTCAATCTTTTGATGCTCTTGTTGCTGATGTGAAAAGGAAAACTTCGTTGCAACATGCTTTGTATTGTCTCCTTTGCCGTAAGATGAAGCTTCACATCTTGGACCCATTTGAGTTAGTTTCTGCTAGAGACTTGCATAGCAATAAGGTTGAGTTCTTAAGATTCTACACATTGTTGTAACGAAGGGAAAAGCTTTATCAGGTTTTCATGAGAGTTTTATTTTATGAAAACTACAGGTTTCAATGACACTTCTTCGATTTGATTTCAACTTTAATGAATTTTCGATTCATTGGGTATCTGCAAGCAAATACAATATATACTATACAACAACTATAGTGAATTTCAGTGGGTTCGGATCCTTTGTCTCATTATTTATAGTAAACATAGCGGACTTCCTTATCTTATTAAGGTCCAATAGGAAAGATCTAGAACATAATTCGAAACATAATCTACTGATATTTACACAATGACACTTCTAATTAAATTAGAGTTGCAACAATAATGAGTTTGTGATAAAAATTACAGAAGATTGTCCAATTATTTGGACAAAATTCTGGACAAGTTTTACAATACTATAATACCGTCAAATTCCTCTAAACTAAATTACGAGGAGAATGATTCGAAATTAAGAGCAAAAAATAGAGCATAAAAGCAGTGAATTTGCCTAGTCTGCGAAAGAGTGATACAATTTAATTGCGAAGTTAGATAGATTCTTGGTATCATAATTTCTAAACCAACGTGGATTTCCACCCATTAAATTGGTCTCAATGGAGGCTAAGACTTAAGAAATCAACAATCATGGTGACATAGCTAGGAGATTGCGTGTCGAAGGGAGGAGTCCAATGACTGTCTACTGCACAGTCCAAGAGTGACAAGGGAAAGCTGCTACGCCTATTGTTTCTTAATCCCAGTTTTATCGGGAGAAGCATTTGTTATACTCATAGTCATTTACTAATTTGTATTCCTTGTAAATCTTGTCGTACAAACCAAATCATATATGGATTAGTCTTGTATATATACTTCTTTTAAATATCAGAGTGCTCCCAAATCTTGTATGGCTTCATATCATACAAATTCATGAATTTCGTGATAAGAACTGATTAATAAAAAGTCCAAATTAAAAGAAACAAAAAAGAAAGAAATTAGCACAAGAAAGCGCGAGGGTTTCGGTCTTGATGTTGTTATGAAACATTCAAATTCGCATACTATACAAATTGTGGCCATGTTTTGGAATGTTTGAAAATTTTGAGAGTAATAGGTACTTAATCCTAGATTCATTTTAATTTTTTTTTTTAATTTTTATTTAGGGTATGTATTTTTGTCAGTATGTTGCGTCTAGCAACTAGAATCTGTATATAAAATAAAGCTGCACTTATTTCCAACATCCGTTGTAGTCTAGTTGGTCAGGATACTCGGCTCTCACCCGAGAGACCCGGGTTCAAGTCCCGGCAACGGAATATCCTTTTTTAGCTTTTTAATAATATCTGTTTGTGAGACCCGGGTTCAAGTCCCGGCAACGGAATATCCTTTTTTAGCTTTTTAATAATATCTGTTTGTTTGATAGGCCTCGGGTGTTCCCATTCTTTTCTTTTTTTTTGGATAATATCAAATTTTTCATAATAAGACTTGGACGACTATCCCTACCCTCGGTAATTTTCCATCTTTGTTTTAAAAAAATTAGGCAATTTTACATAACTTCGTGTAATCAAGTAAACTTTGAAGAAGGGTTTGGTCCGAGAAAGTCGGAACTAAGGTAGGGTTTATGTGCATGCAACCCTAGAAGGGTGACAGCGGCAGGTTCTAGAGACGGCGACGACTGGTCCTGGTAGCGAGAGAGAAAGAAGGCAGGGTCGTTGTGGGGCGAGGCCTTGATGGAGGATCTGAATACTGGCGGAATGTTGGAAGAGTTAGGGCAATCCTTGGAAGATAAACTTCAGTTGACAAACAAGGAGAAAGCTGGAGTGGTGATCGAGAGGAAGGATGTAGAAGAGGCTCTAACTGGCTTCCATTATATGTTACTATCAGAGGTTCTAACTGATAGGGTAGTCCATGGGGAAGCCTTCGTGGATCGTTTTACTTCATTGTGGAGGGGGAAGGAGGGTGTCTCCATTAGGGACATCGAGGATCATCAGTTTCTGGTGAGATTTGTAGCTCAACGCGATATGCAACGGGTGCTTGAGTCGGATTTTCCTTGGACGTTCCAAGATGATTTTGTGCTGGTGGGTGATTGTACAAATAGGAGGGAGGCACGATGGGGCGCTTTTTCATTGGGAGACTTGTGGCTTCAGATACATATGGTGTCGCCGCTGAGTATGACGGTTGTGGTTGTTACGGTAATTGGAGGAAAGAATGGTACGGTGATTATGGTGGATAACTCGGCAAGTAAGGAGTTCATTGGCAAGTTTGGGTACATATTCGTCTTAATTTACGGGAACCATTGATCTGAGGGATGATGGTCATGTTCCCGGATGAAGGGCGATTATGGGTCCAATTTCAATACGAAGGATTGCCAAATTATTGTTTCTACTGTGGGATGCTTGGACATGTGAGTCGAGCGTGTAAAACACATAGGTTGTGTGGGATGCAAGGCATAGGGGAGGAAGGAGAATCACAGCCATCAGGGAGTAATTTGTTGTATGAAGATCTGAAGGCTAGCAGTGTCACGCCCCGAACCCGGGGTCAATAGGAAAAATAACTCCGAATCCGAAACGTGAGATAAAAGCTAACTAATTAAAATAAAACTGAAATAACGGAGTGAAAAATAAAATTCTTCTTATTTAAAATAACTCAATAATTCTTTACAAGGCTAAAATAAAGAAATACAAAATTCTATCCTCACACTTAATCCGATCTCATCCCGTCTACCCTCTTAGATTGTTTAGTTCGTAAACCTGCATAACAATAGAGGGGTGAGCTTCAACAGCTCAGTAGGGACATAACCTTATCACAGTAAATTGACAATATTAAATTAAGTGTCATAAAATCATGTAATCAAGTACCAAATTATTATCATCAACAATGCATGAGTGCGATACAATACTCTTCATCTCTACCCGTTAATTCATGTAATAAAACACGCGAACCTGCACGTCCCATACCGTGCATTTTACCTCTGCAGTGGTGGTTCGAATGTTTTAATATACAAATTAACCCCCTGTAACTCAATCATCCCAATTTCCCCTTTTGTTAGTCATCTTGCTCAAACTCTTCGTCGCCAGTCCCGAATTACCCTTAAAGAATCTGTGCACTGTGGGCTCACCTGAGACCTGGTACCTGCTAAGAGTTTGACTCAACTACACAAAAGATCATTTCCATTACCCTCTTTCCAAATTCCTTTCTCACCTACAAAGTTCCAACCACTTCTGACACATGAGTGATGCACAAGCAACGTTATTACATTTTTCACATGTCACAATATATCTCCATGTCACAATATATATCTCAACGAATAACATTCCAGTAGTACTAACAAGTAAACAACCAACTGAAGCAATCATCCAAACAATGTCCAACCACATTAATCAACCAGCACAAATATAGTACTTCATGAAATTTAATAGAATCAATATCTGTAAAGGTCTGCCGTATTTCCCCTACCTGGATTCCAAAGCATTGCTCCGATATATTAACACAAGAAACCACAACTGTGATAAGCTCCTATTCACAAGTATAAAGAAAATTACCAAATGCCTTATGTGAACTTTAATACTAATCAACACACTTAAAACTCATCAGTTCCACGGTACTCAATTCAAAAGTCATTTGGTTGATTATAATGCTGTACAAAATAGTTTCTTATATAGCAAACATGTATAGTGCTTATTCAAAAGTCTTTTGCCTTCTAAACCATTCAAGTAATATGTATAAATTAAACTACATAAAAACCATTTACCAACATGCTTATTCATTTAACAACAGACATGCATCCATACATATACATATATATGCAGTACATGCTTCGACTCTTCTCTTTGCAATAGAGCAGCATCCAAGTCTCCTAAAGTTAAGTGCCTTTCCAAGAATAGGAATGAATATGGTATTGTTATGTCACATGCGAAATACAGAACATAAAAGGCTATCACTAAAGAACAATATGAATAGAAAGACTTTTCTATAAAACTAAATCAGCAGTATGAACGAATTCAAATACATACGCATAACGATGCCCAGCAGCCCCTTTTTGGTTTAGATACAAACATTTATAATTTATTAATAACATACAGTGATATGAGACAAATAACTAAGAGGAAAACCTAGAAAGGAAAACTCTTTAAACCTGAGAAAGAGTAGACCCCGATAGAAAACGTTTCATCTCGCCAGCGAAGAAAACCGAAGCAATAACATTCTATTTATAGGAGAAGGAAGTCGGCACAGAGGAAGGTGAGATCAGACCAAGCAAACTTACACCGCCTCAAAGCTATCGATAGGAATGATGTAAAAGCCCTTTAATTGGCTATGGTTTTGGTCCAATTAGAATAGAACAAACAGCTTAATAAAATAATGTAAAAGGAAAGAAGATGAATAATATGAATATATAGTTCAAATACTACCGTAATGGTGTACTGAACTTATTTGGTTCAAAATAACAGTAAATTAGAGTATGGAAAAATGAAATAAAGGAATTAACAGTAAATAAGAAGTAATACAAATTTTTTTTTTTTTGAAATTAATAAGTATACACAACACATAATTATATATGATTATTTTTTAAAATACAGGTCCTCACAATCTACCCTCCTTAAAAGAAATTTCGTCCTCGAAATTTGTAAGACCTTACTCAATATATAATAGTAGTTGAAGAAAACTAAGAGAATATCCAACCAGAGTGGTTGCATAGAGATTACCCTTCCGTTTCAAGTGGATTGCAATTCTCTATGTATTTTGCCTTCCAACTCTAGAAATTATTCCCTTTACATATAGTTTTAACATTGTAAAGTCCACTGAATAGTAAACGGATATATGCCAAAACATAAGTTTTCTTTTCAAGCAACAATAAAATTGAACATAACCCTTCAATTAAAAACGTAAGGGCCATATTTGGAGCGAAATCATTTTCTTCTGTACTAACAAAATTATTTTCAAAAACCAATTACTCACACAATTAACACGAAACCAAAAGCTCAATCCCAAAGCTCAACTCACAATCCCAACACTAGTTGCCTCAATCTCAGGAAAAACCCTGGTACGTAACAAGCGGTCTAACCAAACCCCAACACCACTAATTGGATTTGAGTGGATCGATTTCCTTGATCTAAATGTAGTTTCCAAACGAAATAGTACTTCAAGTAGTATTCCTAATGGCTTCCTAGTATAACAACATTCAGAAATGTGACCCATCACTCAGCTCCATTATTTAATTCTTTTATTCTCACCACACGACATTCGTGACTTCGTTTTACTCATCATATAGCCTAAAGCTATATAGGAATGAGAATTAGTGGTCTCATCACACAACCGTAAGTCATGTAGGAATGAAGTTCTTTGTCAAATTCATCACATAGCCCAAAGCTATGTAGGAATGAGATTAATCAAACTTATCACACAACCAATAATTGTGTAGGAATAAAGTTCAATAGATTCATCACACAACCAGAAGTTGTGTAGGAATGAAATATAATATACTCATCACACAATCCAAAATTGTGTAGGAATGACATTTAAGTAGTTCATCATACAACCCCAGTTGTATAGGAATGAATCACCATGTATATAATACCAACTCGTGTAGGAATGAGAATGTCACTTAACTATTACCTTTCTGAGTAGGAGTGAGTCACATGTGAGTTGGCTTCCTCTCCGTAACATAATCGAACTAATAAATATTTCAATAAATCCAAACCTTAATTTTAAACTCCTGTCTAAGAAAGTCTCTTGCATCAAAGTTCTAAGACATCCCCCATCTTATAAATTTAGGACTAATTCTTTTCTGAAAGAGATGTGGTGTTTGCAAAACTATGCAAACATAGAATTACTCCTCAGTCATCTAATGGACCCTAACAGAAACTTGTGCTCCAATCACCACCATAGAATTAATCCATGAAAATTGAATGAATAACAGGGATCACATGTAAATTTGTTTCTTCACTGAAACTTTATCGAATAAATGACTACTTCCAGTAGTCCAAACTCTGACTTTGAACCTACGTTTAAGAGAGTCACTTGTATCTCAAACAACCTTTAACTCTTAATTCTAAGACAATCTTCAACCAAAAACTTCAAGATAGTCCATCTCATAAGAGAGGTGATGTTTGCGAACCAAGCAAACAGATTAGTACGAGTATTCATACACTTTATCTCAAGATATGGTTTAGTTGGTAACCACCACCATAGGATTCATGAGATCATTGAACACCATGCACTACCTAAAGACAATGATGTAATCTCGTACTCCAGCTAATTGGTTGAATCCCAACGAACTAACATGACGAAAACAAGGGTGTACAACAGTAATAAATTAAAATCCTTAAACTTCTCCTCAATCACAACCTCAGCTCGTCTATCACCTGTCTTGCCAAATAACACCTGCCTTGCCAAATAACTCTTCTGTAAAATAATAGATGAGGGGTGAGCAACAACCACTGTCACTCAGTGAGTAGAATATTATATAATATGCCAGTCAAGCTTGCCATTTTAATCACACTATAAAATAGGATAATAATATCAAAGCTTTAGCCACATAATTCCATATCACATCATCCCTTTACGTGTCCATTATATCCTTCATAAATTGTAACTCACCACGTTACTCCTAATGGCCATCTGCTCTAATGTCCCTGTGTGCAGTTTACATTTATCCCTCGAATTAATGCAACACTAAAGTTCTCATGCTCCATGAACATGTCCAAATAATCCACATATCACCATATTAATAATTCCAAAAGCATTTCAACAAATCCAACATGCTTGACTTAAAATAGATAGAGATTTATAAATAGATAAAACCCACAATAGTTCGTGGTTTTCATTTATCAGAAAATAAGAATACTTTGAAACACATTACATAAACCACTCACCTCGATAATCCAAGCTTTGGCAAGACAACCCAACTAACATCTCCGCACACCTCAAACTAGCTTTCCCCTTTTCTTTTCTTTCTAAGCTCTCACTCTAACGTATATATTAAGTATGTATGTATGTATATCCAACATATATAATCATTTCCAGCACTAAATACATGCTTTACTTCATATATAATTGAAACCATATATAGCAGAAAGGTATGTAGCTTGATAACTAACATGGAAGCTCACAAATCCATGACAGATAAACTATTATATAAAATTAAAAACAACATGATGGATAGACATGAAAATAGCTATAGAAAATGTAAGGGAAAACTGGGGATATGTCATAAACTTATCAAGGGTATTATGTCAAAATAGATTTTCTTTTTAAAATGAATCAGTTGATAGATCAATTGATATCACACAACCCTTTTAGCTTTCGTATGAAAACTGTCAACACAAATATGCAGTGCATAAAACCAAATGGATTAAGATGTGGAAAGAAACATTTGTACAAATTAAGTTGTCAATCACAATACTGCATAACATTAACAACATATTAAGAAAGTCATAGTATAGCCACTAACAAATACAGGGAATATGAAAATAATTACCAAAGCTTTGTGAGCTACAGGCTTACGACATATGTATTCATGATTGTTTCATGATTTAGATGCCATAGATTTCGATGAAACCTCTCTCTTTGTTTCTGAGTTTAGTATGCAGTTGAAACCCTGGTCTTTATTTATACTAGGGGAAATGCGAGAGTGAAATGGATAGACTTACCAGAACCGAATAAGATGAGCAACGTGTAAAGCCAAATCGCTTTGGGTTTAGTGGTGTGACACCTATTCCACCTTGCGGCAAACCCATTCTAGCTTCCAACTTGATTAGCACGAACTCAAGCTAACAGATAGCTTACTGACTCATTTGAATGCAGCAGGGGTCAACTACTTAAGTAGGTAAAATATCACGCAGATTGCCAGCTTTTGCTTTTACAATCATCTCAACATTTCAATTCCATTCTAAACGTCTATCACTCGGCAGTTAGGAAAGCTATAGTATAGTTGGACACACTGGTGAAGAAAACACTAACCAATTAAAGAATATTTTTTTTTTTTTTAATACGGATCTTCCACTTCTACTGAGTAGTCACAACACAAGTAATATGTACCACATAAGCCAAATAAAATTTCAACATATCACAGCAGTAAAGCAAACAATGACACTTTACTTCCAACTACGTTAAGACCTAACAACCCATATTACTACCCCCTAACTAGACCTACTAGTCTCTCAGTCAAATGAATTCAAGTCCAAACAAAAGACTTGACAAAACTAATACCACAAAACAGAAATGCTCTAGCTCTTTTAGTTCAACTGACTATTTAATTGGTAACACAACTTTCCCAAGGGTGTCTAATCCCTATGCTCTGATACCATTCTGTCACGCCCCGAACCCGGGGTCAATAGGAAAAATAACTCCGAATCCGAAACGTGAGATAAAAGCTAACTAATTAAAATAAAACTGAAATAACGGAGTGAAAAATAAAATTCTTCTTATTTAAAATAACTCAATAATTCTTTACAAGGCTAAAATAAAGAAATACAAAATTCTATCCTCACACTTAATCCGATCTCATCCCGTCTACCCTCTTAGATTGTTTAGTTCGTAAACCTGCATAACAATAGAGGGGTGAGCTTCAACAGCTCAGTAGGGACATAACCTTATCACAGTAAATTGACAATATTAAATTAAGTGTCATAAAATCATGTAATCAAGTACCAAATTATTATCATCAACAATGCATGAGTGCGATACAATACTCTTCATCTCTACCCGTTAATTCATGTAATAAAACACGCGGACCTGCACGTCCCATACCGTGCATTTTACCTCTGCAGTGGTGGTTCGAATGTTTTAATATACAAATTAACCCCCTGTAACTCAATCATCCCAATTTCCCCTTTTGTTAGTCATCTTGCTCAAACTCTTCGTCGCCAGTCCCGAATTACCCTTAAAGAATCTGTGCACTGTGGGCTCACCTGAGACCTGGTACCTGCTAAGAGTTTGACTCAACTACACAAAAGATCATTTCCATTACCCTCTTTCCAAATTCCTTTCTCACCTACAAAGTTCCAACCACTTCTGACACATGAGTGATGCACAAGCAACGTTATTACATCTTTCACATGTCACAATATATCTCCATGTCACAATATATATCTCAATGAATAACATTCCAGTAGTACTAACAAGTAAACAACCAACTGAAGCAATCATCCAAACAATGTCCAACCACATTAATCAACCAGCACAAATATAGTACTTCACGAAATTTAATAGAATCAATATCTGTAAAGGTCTGCCGTATTTCCCCTACCTGGATTCCAAAGCATTGCTCCGATATATTAACACAAGAAACCACAACTGTGATAAGCTCCTATTCACAAGTATAAGAAAATTACCAAATGCCTTATGTGAACTTTAATACTAATCAACACACTTAAAACTCATCAGTTCCACGGTACTCAATTCAAAAGTCATTTGGTTGATTATAATGCTGTACAAAATAGTTTCTTATATAGCAAACATGTATAGTGCTTATTCAAAAGTCTTTTGCCTTCTAAACCATTCAAGTAATATGTATAAATTAAACTACATAAAACCATTTACCAACATGCTTATTCATTTAACAACAGACATGCATCCATACATATACATATATATGCAGTACATGCTTCGACTCTTCTCTTTGCAATAGAGCAGCATCCAAGTCTCCTAAAGTTAAGTGCCTTTCCAAGAATAGGAATGAATATGGTATTGTTATGTCACATGCGAAATACAGAACATAAAAGGCTATCACTAAAGAACAATATGAATAGAAAGACTTTTCTATAAAACTAAATCAGCAGTATGAACGAATTCAAATACATACGCATAACGATGCCCAGCAACCCCTTTTTGGTTTAGATACAAACATTTATAATTTATTAATAACATACAGTGATATGAGACAAATAACTAAGAGGAAAACCTAGAAAGGAAAACTCTTTAAACCTGAGAGAGAGTAGACCCCGATAGAAAACGTTTCATCTCGCCAGCGAAGAAAACCGAAGCAATAACATTCTATTTATAGGAGAAGGAAGTCGGCACAGAGGAAGGTGAGATCAGACCAAGCAAACTTACACCGCCTCAAAGCTATCGATAGGAATGATGTAAAAGCCCTTTAATTGGCTATGGTTTTGGTCCAATTAGAATAGAACAAACAGCTTAATAAAATAATGTAAAAGGAAAGAAGATGAATAATATGAATATATAGTTCAAATACTACCGTAATGGTGTACTGAACTTATTTGGTTCAAAATAACAGTAAATTAGAGTATGGAAAAATGAAATAAAGGAATTAACAATTAAATAAGAAGTAATACAAATTTTTTTTTTTTTGAAATTAATAAGTATACACAACACATAATTATATATGATTATTTTTTAAAATACAGGTTCTCACAAGCAGGGATTTGCGAGGTAACGCGATTCGTTCACCATTCCGTAGGTCGAAAAGTCAAAATAAGGGAAAGGATAACTGGCGAACTATAAAGTCACGAGAAAAGGGGAAGTGGAGTCTGGAGAGAATGCATGGGGAGATGGGTCTACGTAGCACGGAGGGAAAGGGTAAGAAGGTGACAAGGAATGGAGGAAGTACATCGGGAAGGGGATGGGGGATTTGGAGAACACTGCTTCATCCATGGTGAAACAAAATACATATGCTAGAAGGGATGAAGAGGACAATGAGACTAGGAATGATGATATAGTTCAACATCAAGTAGCTGAAGAATTAGCTCAAAAGGCACGGGAGAGAGCTTTTGATGCGAGGCTTATTTGAAGGGGAAAGGTTATTCAGCCTAGGACCGAGAATGTGGTGTTATTTGATTTTACAGAACCAGTAGGGCGACTGGATAGGGATGTGGAAAGGAGGAATATGGGTTTGCAGGTGGATCTCAATGATCCAATTCATATGGAAAATGATGGAGGCATGGTAGAGGTGCGAAAAAGGGGTGGATGTCAGTGAGAATCAGAATATTGAGGTGAATGATACTGAGACCATAAGGACAGTTATGGGGGGGTACCCAGGATTCGGATCCGTTTGAATTGGGGTCTATTATTGCTGCAGTGAGTAGGGAGAATACGAGACAGAAATGAAATGGAAGAGGAAGTAACAGAGTGGGAAGGGGTGGATGGCAGTATTCAGAATAAACGAGCGTTTATTTCCACTAAGGCGGAGGAAACCAGCCGTGAGGGGTCTCTACGGGCGCCATGAAAACATTATGTTTGAACTGTCAAAGAATTGAGGGGTCCTTGACAGTTGATGCTCTAGTGGAGTAGGTACAACTTCACAACCCCGGGTTAGTGATTCTACTTGAGACAAAAAATAAAAGTGATCGATATAAATATTTACTTAAAGTGTTATGGATGGACTTTATGCAACCGGCTAAACGAATGGGTATTGGAGGGTGTTTATGTGTTTTTTGGAGAGACGAGGTGGGTATATCTAACATCGTTTGGAAGAGTTTTTTTTTTATAGAATTGGGTTTTGGTGGTGATTCGATTCATTCGGATTAGAGGATGTTAGCAGTATATGCCAGTACGAATGACAAGCGTAGAAAAACTCAATGGTGGGAACTTAGTACGCGGATTAGTAACTCACAGGGAAAATGTACCGTGATCGGTGATTTTAATGATATAGTGGATAACGAAAAGAAGGAAGGCGATAATTATCGCTCTATGACTAGCACGAGGGACTTTCGTGATTTCCTGGCGATAAATGAACTTCTGGATTTGGGTTTTGAAGGCTATCCTTTTACATAGAGGAATAAACGTGATGATGGGTTGATTCAACAACGACTTGATAGAGGTGTGGCGACGTCAGGTTGGATGGATTTGTTTCCTAGGGTGAAAATTAACCATGTGGTGTTGGAGGGCTCGAACCATTCTATGTTAATTCTTTCCTCGGATGGAACTATTATGAAAGGGCCCACTTGGTTTATCTATGATTCAAGATAGGAGAAGAGTTCGAAATGTCGAGATATTATTATGGAGGCGTGGAAGGAACTGGTATAAGGCTCTTTGGCATTTAAAGTGAGCGAGAAATTGAAGGGTACTCGGCACCAACTAGTTGCTTGGAAAAAGGCTATGAAGCCGAATTCGAAACGGAGAATAGAGGAACTTAAAGGTGAGATAAAGAGGGGGATTGTTGACCCATATGTGCGGCAAGAGGATATTAAGGAGAATGAAAAAGAGCTTACATTGAAGAATACTATTGGAAGGTCAAATCACAAAATACATGGCTCTGTGAAGGTGACAAATTACTAAATTTTTTCATGCTCAAATGGTACAAAATGAGGAGCAATAGGCTACAGGGGTTGGAAGATTCTGCGGGAGAATGGCGGAAAGATTAGGCATGTATGCAAGACATTGCGGTTAATTATTTCACGGCCTTGTTTCAGTCAAGGAGCTCACGACAAGGAGGGGAGGTTGTGGCATGTGTGGAGGCTAAGGTGAATAACCGGGATAATGAGGAGCTTATCAAGCCTTTCTTGGAGGAGGAAATTCAGGAAGCTGTGTTTCAAATTCCGGCAACCAAGTCACCTAGTTCGGATGGGTTTACGATTGGATTTTTTCAGGACCATTGGGAGGTGGTGAGTAGGGATATTATACAAATGGTGCATGCCTTTTATCATTCGGGACAGTTGCTTCAGAAGATTAATCATACACATATTGTATTAATCTCGAAGGTGAAGGTTCCGTGGCGGATGACGGAATTGAGGCCGATTTCTTTATGTAATGCTGTCTATAAGATTATTACCAAGGTGTTGACAAGGAGATTAAAAAAAGTGATGGACCGGGTTATTAGTTTTAATCAGTCGGCATTTGTACCGGGACGGCAAATTCATGATAATATTCTGGTGGTTCATGAAATATTGCATTCTTTAAAGCAAGGGGTGGATGGTCGAATGGCGATTAAATTGGATATGGCGAAAGTGTATGATCGGGTGGAATGGGTTTTTTTATTGACGTTATGGGGAAGTTGGGGTTTCATCTCAAATTTTGTGATTGGATTCGAGAATACATTTCTACGGTGTCATATATTGTCATGGTGAACAGGGTCCCATCAGGGTATTTCCAACCAGAGAGAGGGCTTCGACAAGGAGACCCAATGTCGCCATTTTTGTTTCTCCTATGTGTGGAAGCCTTTTCGGCATATATTCGAAAGCATGAAGCGAAGGGATGGATTGGTGGGGTGCGAGTGGCAGCGAATGCAACGCCTATCAGTCACTTGTTTTTTACGGATGATTCGGTGATATTCCGTAAATCAGTTGAGACGGAGGCATGACAGGTAGTTAAGATACTGGAGGATTATGGGAAGGTCTCCGGACAAATTATTAATTTGGAGAAAAGCTCTATCTTTTTTAGGAAGGGTTGTCCAAAGAAGAAAAAACAACCAAATTGTTACAAGAATGAACATCCAAGCCAAAGATGGGTTCAACACTTGTAAGGAAATAGAGCGAGTTATAACTCAATTCTGGTGGAGAAGGCAGTTGAAGACTATGGGGTGTCATTAGGTGGCATGGGATAAAATGACAATGAGTAAGAGGGTTAGAGGCTTGAGTGTTCGTGATCTTATTGGTTTTAATTTGGCTATGCTCGCCAAAATCAGCTGAAGGATTTTGAAAAGTCGGATTCGATGCTTGGGATGGTGCTTCGAGATAAATATTTTCCCAACTCTTCTTTCCTTGAGGCAAATAAACAATCTAAATCGTCTTGGAGATGGAAAGGAATCCTATTGGGGCAGCAAGTTTTGAACTAAGGGCTTCATTGGCGAGTGGGTGATGGTGAATCAATTCAGGTGGCGAGTGATCCGTGGATTCCGAAGCCTCATTCTTTTAAACCAATGATGCGACAGGGGGCCCCTAATGAGAAGGTGTGTGACTTAATTTCTCCAGACATGCAAGGGTGGAAAATGGAGGTGGTTGGGGCATTCGTGGAACGGGAAGACATGGAATTGATTCAGACTATTCTAATTAATAGGCGGGGTTGTAGGGATAAACGAATTTGGCATTATATGAAGAATGGGATGTATGCGGTACATTCGGGAAATTATGTGGCGATGGAGATGATGAAAAATGGTGAATTTGGGCGTAAAAGGGGGGGAATGCCGAGTTCGGCTGGAGGATTGGGAGGAATGTGGAAGAAAACATGGTCCCTATTGGTTCCAAATAAAATCTGGTTCTTTATTTGGAAGGCATATCAGAAGGCGTTAGCTGTGAGACATAATCTGGAGCGAAGACAGATTCGAGTGGTGAACAATTGTGAACTTTGTGGGGTGCCAAATGAGACTGAGGCCCACCTATTCTTTGGGTGTGAGTTTAGTCGTGCTTTTTGGTTTGGGACGTCAATGCAAATAAATTTGGCAGCCATGGGGGTGGTGGATTTTCTGGGGGTTGGCAGAGATAAGTAAAGCGACTAGGGAAGGAGGAGGATGATGATTCATTATTGCAGCATGTGGTGTTTGGCTTTTGGCGAATTTGGAAGTGTAGGAATGAGGCTATATTTAATAGGACCCGAATTCTACCACATACTGCGGTGGAGTTGTGGAGAAAGCAAGTGGAAGAGTTTAGAGAGGCTGCAGTGGTGGTATGGGGGAAACAATGGGATAGGGAGTTAAGGGTGGGTGGTTATGGTGAGGAGGGGAGTGAGGGGGGGCTTCATTGGGCGAAACCTCCATTTGGCATATTGAAATTGAATTGCAATGCTACCTGGCAGAAAGATTCAAAGATGGGTGGGGTGGGATAGGTGTTACGTGACTTTGCGGGGATTCCTAAGCTTGCTGGAGGGGTGGGGGGAGGGAGGTTTGCGGCTGCAATCATGGCGGAAGTGGAGTCAATTAAGCAGGGAATGGAGATGGTCCTAAGTAGTGTGGTGATGGACCCTGGAGTTCGATTGGTGGTGGAATCAAACTCAAAATGACTGATTCAGATGCTCAACAAGGAGGTCACGGCTGATGTGACTCTTGATGTCTATCTCTAAGATATTTGGAGGATGGCGAGCTTGTTCTAACTGGTGAGGTTCTGCTTTACCCCTCGGCAATGCAATGGTGTAGCTCACTCAGTGGCGGCGCACGTTGTTAAGCATGGCGGGAGATTTAGCTGGGACGAGTTAGGTCCATAATTTCTTTTTAATATTTTAGCGGAAGATGCAAATGTAACTATTCATATTTAATTCAATAAAATTTCTACCCTTCGACAAAAAAAAAATTGAAAAAGTATACAAATGTTCTCTTTCAAACAATCTCACTATTTAATTCATCTGAAATTTTCTTAGTGCTGCTATATTATCATTTTATTTTAATAAACTTTCCTACTCTCTCCTTGAAAAAAAATAAATAAATCAAACAATCTCGTGTAAATAAGGTAATCTTTGAAACTTGAAATTGAGTAAGTGTACTAATTTCCTGTTCCAAAATCAAAACTAGCTTAGAAACCAAGTTTCATATATCAAGCCCTTTAACAAGAGGGATCCCTTTTAAAAATAAAAATAAAAAATTGGGGACATCCTCTTGACCGTTGGATCGATTTTAATGAAATTGTGTGGTTGAGATTAAATCACAGGTCACACAATTTCATTAAAGTCAAATCCAATATAAGAATCATTTAACAAGAGGGATTCCCATTTTTCAAAAAAAAATAGAAATCCCTTTTTGACCGTTAGATTGGCCTTAATGAAATTGTGTGGCCTGTTATTTAATCACAACCACACAATTTCATTAAAGTAGATCCAACGGTCAAGAGGGTGCTATATATATATATATATATATAATATATATATATATATATATATATATATATATTTAAATGGAGATCCCTCTTGTTAAAGAATTCATATGTTGTGGGGGGGGGGGGAACTATTGCAAACCCTTGATCCTCATCCACTCTCGTAACTCAACAATCTTGCAAACCCTTGATCCTCATCCACTCTCGTAACTCAACAATCTTGGACGATCCAAAAATTAAAAAATCAAATCAAACCTTGAAAGATGGTTGAATTTCCTCGGCATGTGCTCGAAAAAAATAGAAACGGATATTGATGGTCCTCGACAAACTTTAGCTTGGTGAGATGACGTTTTCTCAACCCAATATAGTTTACGGTTGTTTCACGCCGCCGCTACCACTAATCACAAAACATGGTGTAGAAATTGGTTGATCAAACAGCACTTGTCATGGGACCCTCACTTGAAGGAAAGGGTGTGATACCCTATGAGGAATTTGAGGTAGGTCAAATTGTACATCCATGGGCCCTTAAAGATGAAAATGATACCCTTTGCCTTTGGTATGTAACGGGTAACAAATTTAAAGATAAAGATGATGGAACTTCCTTCTCCTAAGCATTAAAAAACAATAAAAAACAGTTGAAAATGATGCATTTTAGTTGGGTTGGTATGTGACATTTTTAGACCTCAACAGGTTTTAACCCCAAGAATTTGGAGATGGTCTTAGTATATTTTTTAAAAAAATCCTAAAAAGCTAGGGAGAAAAATAGAAAAAAAAACATACAAATTGTCCGCCATCAACTCTTATCCTTAGCCAAGAGGGGTTGGTGGCAATCTCTTTTGGTTTCTTACCTCACTTCTCCTATCTTCTAACCATTTCCATTTATGGGTCATGGTCGCTCTTTCACTGTGTCAAAGAAAACTTTCGTGACTACAGTCTCTCACCAGCTCTATTGGCGAAAGCCTTTTGCAGTGGAGATGACCTACTGCTCATACTCGGAACTTGGAAGTGAACTGTAGTTTAGATTTTGAGATGGTGGTATTTTGTGCTTCTTGTGGTTTGGGTACTTAAAAAAAAAAAAAAAAAAAAAAGACAGAGAAAGAAGCTCAACGTGTGTTGTAGACTTGGGAAAAGGATCCTCGCCGGATCCTTTTCCTGGGGATCCTAGGGATCTTATGATCGTGACCGTTCATCGTACATCGTGCAGTTAGAAATCATTTCAAAATTTAAAATTTAAAATTAAATATAAATAATACCTAACGAAAACTGATCGCATGATGTACGATTAACGGTCAGAATCACTGGATCCTTAGGATCTCCAGCAAAAGGATCTGGCGAGGATCCTTTTCCATAGACTTGTAGGTAACTTATAATAATGCTTCTTTGCCGGTGATTGCAAGATCATGATAAGAGTGATGTGGTATTTTCCTTGTGGTACCTTTACAGTAGTAATCCGATTGACAAAGTCTAGTTTTATTTGTGAGGATTATCTTTCATGTTGGTTGGATGTTAGGATGTGGGTCATCCATGGCTGATGATTGTACTTTAGTATCTAAGTTATTAGCTAAGTTGGCCCTTAGGCTTAATGGATTTGGGTTTGCTTGAAAAGTTTGAAGGGAAACAATATCATCGGAAATGAGCTCCTCCGAAGCTTTTGAATCATTTCTCAAATCTTTCTTATCTTGAAGGATGAACAAACTCTGTAAGACATGATTATATGTACATTGCTACAGTGGTAAGCGGAAAATACGTTCAGAATATTCACAATTCTACATTACATAACTACATACATACAAACACATCCTCGACCTTCAATAGATAGAGGATCTACTTAATTGCATAAAAAGGTTTTCAAGCTAGTTTTCGTATCACAACTTGTGATGCAATATCACCTCCGACGCCGCTTTGTATCCACCTGAAAGACAACATGAAGGAAGTTCAAAATACTTTGTGACCAACAACTATCAATGATAAACACTGCCCTGGTTTTTTTTCCTTTGACAAAATCAAGTTTCAAATCAAACCCATTAAGTTACCTACATTTCCAAATCATAACAAATTATATGCTTTAAAATTCATATAAAGTCGCACAACTTAATGAGCATATAAGAATATTTGCTTTATTATGCCATTGCCTCGTAACCTCCTGTATGATATTCATTAAGCCTGATATGCCTCCAACCAATAGTCCTGGAAATTTGTGATAAGTTTCTTCCTGTTCAATGTATAGTTTCTTTTAACACCCTTTTCCATTCTTTCTATTCAACTTAAAAATCTGGTCTAAAAGCATCACAAGCCCCTATGTGTATTTGGGTCATTTAATAATAGATGGAATGAGAAGCGAAAAAAAAACAAGAAGACAAATTAATCATTAAAATTGGTAGATAAAGAAATTTGAAACACATTCAATAACCTGTCAATTTCCAGAGGACATGCAATTCAAATTGAGTCCACAAGCAACCAAGAATAATAATGGTAAACCTAACTTCAAATTTATCCAACACTTACGAAAGAAATGTACCTTTGTATCCGGGTGTCTGGAAGCAGTATGGGAATTCTGCAATTTCTTTTGACTCTCGGAAGAGCAGCCTTCACAGAAGAAGTGATCTAGTCTTTTGGCTTCCTGTATATTCATGTTTATACAAGCAGGATGAAACCTGGATCAAGTGCAGTAAATTGAATATTGCATTCGCATTATAAAAGGATTGACAAGAGGAAGGAAGTACATGTGAAAATAGACAAAAAAAACATATCAATTAAAAAAAGACATAGGCATCCATGTTTCGAAGCCTTGTATACACTTTTCTCAAGCAACAGCCCCTCAAGTGTCAACCTAAAATGCTGCTGAAAGCAGCTCAGCAACATACTGTATACTCAAGGCAGACCAGCATAAGGAATAAGGATATACACTTGTCAATATGCTTTATGCTCATTCCATTAAGTATTTGGGAATTTGGGACATACATCAGAGATATATGCATACAGAAAATAGGAAAAAGCGATACATTCAATTTAAAAAATGTTCCTCTAAATGGTAAACTTCTTTAGAAGCAGCAACACTTTGAGACTTCATCAGGTTCAAAATAGACAAAATGCCTAGCTGATTCACATTCAAACAGTTCCTTGTAATTATTTGCATGACAGTATGGCACCTTGACCATGTATGTTTGAAATTGAATGCTAACCTGGAGTAGCGTACGAACACTATTTCCATGAACTAACAACTACTTCCCCTAATTTCCCCTCGAGGTATGAATAAAAGTTACCTTAAGATTAGATTTATAATCATCCATCCCCTTCAATTTCACAAACTTCCCAGCATTTATCAGCTACTTACACCCCAGAAAAACAATGTTGTAAAATAATAAAAGCAACCAGGTGAAGATATTCAAAATCTTTTCACTCCAGAATGGTCTGTCATAATCTTAAAGATCTAGTAAAAGGGAACAGTCAAGTGTCAGTGTGCACCTGGTTAACAACTGAATACATGTGTAAATTAAAACATGATAAATAATAATCTACCTAGAGATACAAGAAATATTCAGAAGGACCAACTTTTCAACTTTATGACAAGAATCTAATCCACCCTCCGTGAGGCAAAAGTATGGGTAGGTCACAAACAGTTGAATAACTTAAACATTTAACTTACCAATCACTACAACCTTCACATTGAACCATGAGGTCATCAGGGTTGTAAGGCATCTCACACTTGCAATACCTGCCACATAACATCAGAAACCCAAAAAGAGGCATTTCAATATCAGTCTGTCATTCCAATACCCAATGTTGCAAATACTGGAGCTTGTTCACAAAAGATCAAATAGAGAGGCTGACAACTTAACGGCCATGAGCAAAAAACAAAAATTGTGGGAAACCTATACAGCTAATAAAATAATGGAAACTTAGCTCAAGGCTCAAATATGTTTCGTTTATGATTTCATCAACTCAAATATCCCATATAATACCTATATAAGATAAAGAGTGCAAATGAAATCTGATCGTCAAGCTCCTTTGATTACCAGAAGGATAGGAAACTGAGAATTAAAGGTGAAGGACAAAATGAAGATGCATAAAACTAAAATCAATGAAGAAAAGTTTTGAGCTTTTAGTTTTAGAGGCCGTTTGATAACCATTTCGTTTTCACTTTTCACTTTTTGTTTTTCCTACAGAAAACTTGTATGGTAACTGTTTCAGTTCTAAAAAAAAATATGAAAACTGAAAGCTACTTTTTTGAGTATTCAAAATTTCGACTACCATACCATCCCATCTTGGCTATCTTGAGCTTATGAACGAGCTTGGGGATACTTTAAAGTTTATGCTTACTACTAGGGCTTCCAACACTGATTCCTACACTTAATCGGGTCTCATAGCCCCTGTGAACTTCACTTCACAGCCTGATTAATGCAATTTAAGAGCGCATTTCTATGGCCCTTGATCGAGCAGTTTTCAGTTTTAAGTTTCCACAATCAAACAAGTTACAGTTTTTAGTTAAAATGGTTATCAAACGGGCCCTTAGTTTTACGCATTCTCTCAAAGTTTCCACCTACTACAATGTATGATGGAAATAACAATGAAGAGTGAGCAAAAGTTCATTGCTTTTATATTCAAAGCACTCCAAAAACAATAGAAACCAACCAAATCATCTCAATTGAAGCACGAAATCAATACTAAACACCAAATAACAAGAAAAGTTAAAGATTGGACAACTCAATCTCCATCCCAATTCAACCAATTTGAAGCAAAAGAAGACAAACATACACGGCAACGCGGTCGGGATTGAAAGCCCCAGTGGAGGAATTATAATCAAAACGACAGAAGAAATCGTCGTTTCCAACAGCGTCGAGCTTGGTGTAGCTCTTGAAGGTGTGGACCGTACACTTGGCCTCGATGGTGTCGGCGCTCTGAACATCGTGGTGATCGGAGAGGAAGACCTCTTTGGAGCCGTGAAACTGCCTCCGGCCACCGAGCGACTCCTCGGGCCGATAGTACCACTGGACGTGGACCTTGACGTTGGAGCCGCGGCTGTCGGCCTCGATCCGCTCGATCTTGGCCACGTAGGACGGCTTCCCCGGCTCCGACGGGCGCATCAGGACGCAGTCCCCGGCTGCTCCACAAAGAGAGAAATCAAATTTACAGAGAATTCGAAGGGAATTTAGAATATTTGGAATTGGGGAGTTGAATTGTGAGTAGAGAGTAGTGGTAGTGTTGTACCTCTGACGGTTTTGTTGATGGGTTTGACGGTGTAGGAGTCGATCGTTCGCCTCGGAGCTTTGGGTTTGGCCATGGCGGAGATTCTACAAGCTCATCGCCCAAACCAGAGACGCAGAATTCGGAATTTGGAAGAAGAAAAGTGGGATACTTGGTTGAGGGGTTGGATTGTAGAATCATAGGATGGACGCATCTACAGAGGACAATAGCTCCTTTATTATGGACGACTTTTTCTTCTACCTTTTGACTAGCGTTTGTTCCTTGACTTTTTTAGCGTGAAGTGAAATTTTTAACTATTAGATTTTGCCACTCGGTCTCTTCATTTGCAAGTGAGAGACAAATTTCGTGGATGACGAATTCAATACCAATTTAAACAATCGCAAAATATATAGCCGCTGCTTTTACAGTTTCTCTCTTGAGAGATTTATCACCATGGAATTTCACAAGATCAAACGAAAAGTTATGATTGGAACCATTTTCTAAGCTTCTTGGAACCTTGCTTTTCGCCATCGGTTTGGGCGGAGCTACGTTGTGAGTACTTGGATCTATATTGTTCGATCAGCATGTCCAGTTTATCCACAACGTCCCGCCCTAATGGGTCTTTATTTTTCTTTGGCCTTTTTCTCCTCGTTTCAGTCTCTCCCCCCTCCACCTCTTTCTGCGCTTGCAGCTTCCTCTTTTGAGCTCCTACATTTGCCTTTCCCATAGATTTTGATGTTTGTGCACCATTGGCCATGGATTCACGTTCGAATGATCCCCCACGACCAGGCTTCACGCCATCTTGATGATTGTCTGTTGCGCCTCCTGGTACTTTTGTTGATGAGATCTTCTTTTCCTTTCCGAATGGACCCTTCTTATGCCTCTTAGAAGCTCTCTCTCGGTCAGTGGCAGTTCCATCACCAACCCCGTTTTCCACTTCATCTTCTTTATTTGGTACTGATTCATCCAGATTTTGCTTGTCACCACTTTGTTTCCGTTTGTTGAACTTCTGGCTTGGATCGGCATCTGGTCTATTTGAGCCATCCTTTTGCTGTACACCTGGATTACGACGAGCTGCATTCTGCTGCCCTTGAATCTTAGCATTTCGTAGTTTCAACTTCTGGACATTATCCAGTGCGAACTCCACAATTGGGCGATGCTCGGGACCAAAAGTTTCTACAAGTTGCGTCACATTAAATTACAACACAACGGATTCAATGCATTCGATATATATTTCCAAAAATTACTGTTATCAGTGTCCTATGTCAACATGGATTATCAATTTCGTTGAAGAAATAACTTACCGGGATTGTTGTTCAGAACTCTGAGGGCCACAAGCGCATGCTGATGCTCTGTAAACTCAACGAAAGCAGCTCCACGAGAGTGATTCTTTGTGTTAAGCTTTCCTTTCTTCACATCCTCCAAGAACTTTATCTGCATGCTCAATGCCAAAAAATAATAGGGGAAAGTTCTTAAAATATAATAAACGAAAAAACCATAACAAAGACAAAAGTTAACTACTAATTAACCTGTCGAATAACAGGTTTTTGTTTTGTAGCTCGTGAGGTGACTGCATCAATACAAAGTCTTTTTAGTTCCTTTTCATTCATGGACTTCAGCAAATTTTTTATAACTATTCTCGTCTTGGAAACATGGAAATTTGGGGATTGAAGTTTCGACATCTTGCTTCTTTCTGCCCTGCATGGTTTCAGAAAATCATTAGAACCTGTCGCAAAGGAATGTGAAACACCATGAAGTAGTAGCAGGATAATCAGCATTTGCTGTTATAAACTATGGAGTCTGGTATTTCTTCTTGACAAATTACCAGATTTTTTAAAGCTTGTAGAGGTTTTACGAGGTTTATAATTCATGTAATATAGTTAATACGATTACGGGCTGAGAACTATAAAACAGGAGAAATCCCATCCAAATGTTTATAAGAAAATAATATATATATATATATATATATTTTTATAAGGATTCGACGTAACCTAGGAGTGCCGGCTGTCGACTACCTGACGCCCTCCCCCTCCTCCTTTATCCGAGCTTGGGACCGGCAATGTAAGATAAACTTACACAGGCGGAGTTATATATATATATATATATATAGTAACTAAAATGTAAATACATGCTGGAAAATGATTTTACAAAAGATTGTATGTCTGGAGAAAATCAGGTGAGACCCAATTGAACCGTGCTCCAAGCATTCCATGGACAAAGATATAAGCAAAACTTACATTTGGCGTTTCAACATATCACTAGCTGAAACCCCTTTTGCAGCTGGAGTTCCCTCAAGAATAAGACCTTCCTGTTAATATTTGAGGAAAGAAAATGCCAGCCATTCAAGACGATTAAAATAACCACCACACACAAAAAACTGTAAAATCAAAATAAAGAAGGGGGAGGAGGCTTGTTGAAGAAATAACCTTTGCTAGATAGAGATTGCGGTGGTCTAGGTCCTCTTTCTTGGCCACATTTAATTCCTTATCATGAGCCGATTTTTTATCCAAAGCCTGCAACACTGTTAATTGTCTACCTTTCAGAGTAATTCCCGAGCCAGATTCCGCATTCCCAGCTGAAACGGCAGAACTAGCTCCATCTTTTGTTTTAAACCTGAGAAAGCCAGATCCTTTGGGTCGCCTGCCACAACATGATATCAGACGTAGTTTCGAACATAAAAGAATGCAGTAATCATATCAAACTACAAATAAAACATACTTGGTGACTGGATGAAGGACTGGGACAAAAGAGTCAACTTTCCCAAAGGTGGAAAACCTTTGTTTGACATCTTCATTAGTGATCTCAAAAGGAAGATTGCTTATGAAAATTGTTCTATGCAAATCTTCTCCTTCGTCTGCCTGTTCAAGATTTGATGCCACGCTTTTACTTAACTTTCCAGGCTCAGTAACGTCTGATGCTTTTGCAGTCTCAAGAGATGAGTAATTAGGCTCATCAAAAGATTCATCAATAAGATTTGATGCCATGGTCTTGCTTTTCTTTCCAGGCTTATCAACCTCTGATGCTTTTGTAATCTCAGAAGATAATTTCTCAGGCTCGTCAACGGATATATCAATAGATGTCTCCTTGTTCCTTTTCGGCAGTGTGGAATCATCATCCGGAGTTGCTATACCAGAGGGTGTGATGAAGTTTTTTAGAACTTTCCTTGCAATGTCTGCTTCCTCTTCAAAATTAATTTCAGTAGGGATGTCTGTTTTCTCTATGGTGTTAGAGTCATTTAGAGCATTGTCTGTTCCATCATTGTGCTGGGACTTTATACAGACATCCCCAGCATCATCCTCAAAATCATCACTGCTACTATCACTTTCCCCATCTCTTTCATCCTCTTGTCCTGTAAAATCAGAGCTTTTGCATCATAAAAATGAAGAAACAAGTACTAAAAATGAGGTAAACATTTATTGATAAAATCGTTCAAGATAAAATCAATTTCGAATATCACAAAGTAACTCAAAATGGGGAGTGTAAAGGCATCTTTTAGAAATTATGAACAATTAAATGCATTTTTTTAATCAGGCACTTTGTGAATCATCTTATCATCATCATTCTCTTTCACAAAGAACAAAGCACAAAACATCAGTTGATTACTCAGATGCAATTGATTATTAATCCAAGGTTCCACATAAAACAGAAAGACAAAAATGTGCTAAATGTGAAAGGAGTTACAGTAATATAACAAGTACCATCCTCTGAAGCAAGGGCATTAATGCCACTATCATATATCTTCTTTGAAACAGCCCAGTCAACAGCTATGGATCTTTTATGAAGCATTTGTCCATTTAGCTTTTTTATTGCCTGAGAAAGCAAAGGAAACATGTCAGCTCACGTAACTCAGCACAAGAACACACAGGTTAATAAGTACTCCAAAATTTAAGCATAAATCACAATGTACATTTTCCGCATCCTGTTTGCGTGTGAATTTGACAAATGCAAAACCTTTAGATAACCTGCAAACAAGGAAAATAAAACAGGGATGAAGAAATAGATAACATGATATTTCAGTGAGAGAGAAACAATACTTGACACAATGATAATATACCCTGTCTCAGGATTATGTGGAATAAAAACATCCCAGACAAACCCAGCCGGTGAAAACATGTTATTTATTTCATTCTCTTTGGCCTGCATTTGTGTAAGAAAACTATCAGTTTAAGTTCTTCCTACGAACAAAATGTCATATGAAAATACAGTGAGCAAAAAACCTTGAAAGGAAGATTTCTAACAATGAGCTTCCACTTCTGAGTCTTGGAACCCTGAACAAACAATAAGAATCAAGCTGTTTAGAAGCAATATAATAGCACCAGCACCAATAACATGAATAACAAATATAACACCAATAACAACCCATAATGCTAAGTAAATGACTAATTTGAATAACAAAAAAAATAATCCAGACTTTATCTCTTATAAATCAAAATGCTGGTTTGGCCTTGCATGGCATGCAAAGAGCCTATCAACATTACCATAATGTATACTTCTTGTTATTTCTGATCCCTGCAGTTCCCTAACAGACAGTGATAAAACATATTACATCCTTGCATCATCTTTTTTGTTATCCACTGAACCATAGCCAAGCTCAAAAGAACTGGGAACAATCCAAAGCCAAAATTGCATTGAAAAAAATGAAGCAATGGAACTCCATGAATTGGTTCATATTCACAAAGGAATGTATAAGCTAGAGCAATTCAGCTTGAACTTGCAGTAAGTTGTACACGTATAATTTACCTCCCCACCCAGCTGACGTGCCCAAACAATACCGCCTTTTATTTCTTTTTGATGTAACATAGAAACAGAAGCATGAGCTGATCTGACACTGTTATAAAGTACAGATGAAGCATCCATTTTGCATCCATCTTGCACAAGACCTGAAAGGAGACCACATAAAGTGAAGACAAAATTACTTTATGAGTGCACACAATAACTTTTGTCCGTCTAATAACATTTAAGCTTCAAATTTCAATTAGGAAAGCATGTAATCAACTACAATGGCCAAACTAAAAGTATCAAGTGTTTCCCTATGGTAATTTGTTGCAACTGTCATGTGAGTATTGATTATGTAAATTTAAATCAAGTCTTCCGAAATGTAAATTCTACTTAACATATAAGTATATTTATAACATATAATACTTTGTAAAAACAAATATAATCATAACTAAATCAAAGATATTATCATCTTCTTTATTACTAAGTCTAGTTGTACTTGGAAACTATATCATATAGTCTTAAGATGTTGCAGTTATTTATTTTACTGTAAGCAATTATAGAGAACTTCAAGGAAAATAAGGATGAATGGTTGCACTTACAGGAAATTTCAAGCGAAATAAAGGTTGAATGTTGCAATTATAAGTAATTCAAAAGGAAATAAAGGCTTAGTGGAGTAGTTATAGGGTATTTAAAATGAAATAAAGGCTGAGTGGAGCAACTATTATGGGAATTTAAAGGAAAATAAAGGGTTGAGTGGAGCAATTATAGGGAACTTAAAATGAAATAAAGGCTGAATGGAGCAATTATTATGGAAATTTATGGGATTTGGAGAGAGAAAGTCTCTCCTTGTTCTTCGTTGAATCTAGAACGGCAGAAAAACATTTTAGAAAACCTAGATTTTGAAGAAAAAAAGGCCCAGGTGAACGCCCCGCATGCCCTGAGGCGTGCCTCAGCCGCCCAAACGCGCTCCGGCAACACCACCGCCACTCCAGCAAAATGAGGCGGCAACTCTCATGCCCAGCCTCAGAGGCATGAGAGTAGCCGCCTCAATTTGGTCCTTCGTCAATCTGGTCATTAAAATTTCTTTATCAAGAGAACTGATGAGTTTGATAAATGGTCCTTCCTCTGTTTGGTCCTTTATCAATTGCCTTGGTCATCAAAATTGTCCCTGCCTTCTACTTCCGCTAAAAAGTTCGTTAGTGTGCTGATGTGGCATTTTGTGTGAGACCACACAACCAATCATGTGATGCCACATTTATTAAATATAGCAAGAATCAATTTTTAAAAATAGTATAGAATTGAAAAAATACCTTAAAATTTTGAAAACCAAAAAAGATTTAAATGAAGAGAAATGGATGGGTTGGGGAACAGGGAAATCTGGGTGGCTGAGGAAGGGGGCGACGTCAGAAAAGCCGGAGAGGGACAGGGAGGGAGAGCGAGAGAGAGGGTCGGGTCAATCTGGCCGACTCTAATAATCTAATAATGAAGGCTTTCTCAATACATGGGGTACATTGGTTGGGCAAGGGTATGAAGCGAAATCTGGGTTAGGAATGGTGTGGTAGGTGGCTTGCAGAGAGATAGAGAGAGTGAGGTGGCTTCCTTTCTTTTTTTTTTCTTTAATACAGAAAAAACCAAACAAAGCTATATGATTTATGTGTATACATATACATATCACATATGGACAACCGTTTCTCCAGCAAATGCAAAATCATGGACACCAAACTAGGGGTGGGTTTAAAAAATCGAATAAAAACTGAACCGAATTACCGAACCTAAGCCGAAAAAAACCGAACCAAACTAAGAAAACCAAACTGAACCGAAAATTGGTTGGTTCGGTTTTCGGTTTTGGTGGTCTTAAAACCGAATTGAACCGATATATATATATATATTATTAATTATTTAATATATATCATCTTCAAGCCAACGTGAACTCAAAGTTTGAACTCAATTGGAGGTCAGACTTGCAGTCTGTCCTATGTTCTCTTTCAGGCAATGAGCCACGGGATGGCATAACCACAAAGTGGAAGATGCCACCAGAATCGAAAGCAAAGGAAAGAAAATAAAACAACACGCACACAAAGTGGAAGATGCCTTAACCAGAATTGAAAGCAAACAAGGTTCTTACAATGAAGTGGTGCTGATTATTTTGGCCCCCAAATGTTATCATTCAGGTCCAAGAAATCGAAGAGGACAAGAATTGTCGGTCTGAAATTGGATAATTCAGGGAAATGCTTCTAAGATTGCTCATTATTGTTGTAAAACAAAGGGACAATGTGATTGCTGTGAAAGAAAATTTTTAGACCTATATATGCAGGTTTTTTACATGAACCTATGGACATAAGATTTAATGGATCGGTGTGTCCAGTGTCTATTGTTTAAAAACAAAAAAAACAAAACCGAACCGAAACCGGACCCAAAAAAATGGAACCGAAATTAAACCAAACCGAACAAAAACCAAAAAAAAAAATTGAACTGAACCAAACCGAACTTTTCGGTTTGGTTTTGGTTTTGGCAAAAAACCAAACCGATTGAAACCAAACCCACCCCTACACCAAATTAATTACCAGAAAACTATAGATTGCTAGATTGCTAGTATGACCTGGTGTTAATTTACAAAAGATCCAAAAGATCCAAAACATATGCAGTCTTTTATCAACAAAAGGACAAATCAATAGACCATGGCATTGTGATGAATGAGGGACGGATGTCCATCAGGTTCTTACTCTCAGAAGCACAACATTTTATTTTCTTTTTATAAAAATTAAAAAAAAAAATATTTTGGTTTAATCTGTCTTAAGTTGTTTTGTGGGCACCATGCAAATGCCACATCAGCACACTAACGGACATTTTATTCTTTAGTCTGCAAGAGTTTTTCTATATTTCTTGTGTTCTACGTTAACTGGGAAATCCTAGTTTTTATCCATCTGGTTATGAAGAATTACATTGAGTATGTCACACAAATTACATACATGTATCAGTAATTGTACAGCATACATATTAATATTTTCCATGTGCGTGTCCATGCTTCATGCATTCCAATGAATTAAAAGAGTGCCAGTAAAAAGAATCTTGTCTTACAGGTTTGTGTGTGATGTACGTGCTGTTGTACAACTACAAGCAATTGTTTACATGACTGCAATGCCAATAAACTGGGAACAGCACAATATATGAGGTAAAAAATTACGGGAATGGCTAGTATTATTCTCCATAACAACAATTTCCAGCGACAATGGCTAAAGAAAAAACTAACAAAGGAAAAGAAATTTCAAGTTTCAACTCAAAATATCAAACCAACTAACCCCATTTACTTTGAAAAGTAAAAGAAACATGCAGGTGGTAGTTGCCGGGGAAGAAACAAAAACGAAAGAAAAATTCCATTACCATGTTGTTCAAGCTCTTCTTTGGGAAGAGGATAAGTGATGGAACATACGTCCCCAATCTCCCTAGCTTTGCGATGAACATCTTCTGCCATACCAGCATTAAGAAGACCACCGAATATAACAGTTCTGGCAACCCTACGTAACAACAAGTGATTAAGTACATCAGGCCACATTTCTGGAAACGGATGCTATTAATCAACTTTCTATCTCAAAATTACCTACCTCTGCTTTTCTGAACCACCCACTTTTGCCACTTGAACATTACTTAGTGCTGCTGCTTTTCTAGTCTTCACAGGTTTCTTTGTATTTTTTTCCAAAGTAACAACTGCAAATAGCTAAGCAAAATGAATGAAATTTACAATAGCTAATTTTTATTCTTTTTTGGTGATTACAATAGCAAGTTCAGTGCAAATGGAGGCCAAAACGAGTTAGGGGTGAGGATCGGAGATCAAGAAATACCAAAGAGCGACCGTTTTCGTTACCTAGGATCTATCTTGCAAAAGAACGGAGAATTAGATGGAGATCTCAACCATAGAATACAAGCTGGATGGATGAAGTGGAAGAGTGCATCCGGCGTGTTATGTGACCGCCGTATGCCACTAAAGCTCAAGGGAAAATTTTATAGGACGGCAATAAGGCCGGCGATGCTGTATGGCACAGAATGTTGGGCGGTGAAACATCAACACGTACACAAAATGGGTGTAGCGGAGATGAGGATGCTTCGTTGGATGTGTGGGCACACGAGAAAGGATAAGATTAGGAATGAGGATATCCGGGGTAAAGTAGGAGTAGCCGAAATTGAAGGAAAGATGAGAGAAAATCGGTTACGGTGGTTTGGACATGTGCAAAGAAGGCCTACTGACGCTCCGATTAGAAGATGCGACTATGGGACAGAGGTTCAGGGCCGAAGGGGTAGAGGAAGACCTAGGAAAACTTTGGAAGAGACTCTAAGAAAAGACTTGGAGTACTTGGATCTAACGAAGGACATGACACAGGATCGAGCACAATGGCGTTCTAAGATTCATATAGCCGATCCCACTCAGTGACTTGGATTTTCCAAGTCTCCAACCGAGAAGTTTTCCTCACTCGGAAAATTAAGGGAACACTACCCCAACCTACATGCTCCACTCAGAAAGCTTCAACATACAAGCTTCAACAAAAGAAAATTCAAAGAACTTAGCGAAGAAGGCTTTGGTGTATTTAACACAATACGTTGAAATGAAGGAAAGCTTATTTATTGATATCCCCGATAAGCTACAAATATGTACATATACATGAGTCAAAATAAACACACAAGAGGGAGCCTTCACAAAGGTTGCTTAGGAGAAGTCTCAGCAGTCGGTAGAGCCCCAGAAAGAGAAGGCACCGGAGGGGGATCATTTGGAGCCTCAGTACTGGACAGAACCCTAGAAGGAGGAGGCATCAGAGGTTGATCATTTGGAGCTTCATTACGCGGTATAGCCCCAGAAGACGAAGGCAATAAATGCCTTTGGAACAAACCCACAAATCTCTGATGATCAAGTAAAACCTGACCATCAGTTTCCTTCATCTGGTCAAGCTTCCTCTTCATGTTTGTAGCATAGTCATGTGCGAGCCGGTGCAACTGTTTATTCTCATGCTTGAGCCCTCTGATCTCCTGTTTGAGACTCATCACTTCAGCCGCCAATGATTCAACTTGGCGGGTTCGAGCAAATAGGCGTTGGGCCATATTAGACACAGAACCTGCACACTGAACACTGAGAGCCAGCGAATCCTTAACAGCTAACTCATCAGACCGTTTGGAAAGTAGTCTGTTATCTTTGGGAGTGAGAAGGTTCCTGGCCACCACCGCAGCGGTCATATCATTCTTCATCACGGAATCCCCAACGGTAAGAGGACCAGTAGGGGAGACGAAGGATGGGCGCCATATGTTGTCTGGAGAAGGCGGGGCTGCCTCTTCAACAAGGTTCAAGTCAAAACGACGGTCGGAGGGGCCAGACATTTTCAAAGGTGTTGAAGAGAGAAGAGGTCGGACAAATCAAGATCTTAGAAGTGCAAGAATGAAGCTTCTACTGGTGGAGATTCAAGTGTGCTTTGGAACTTAATGCCAGCCCTTATAAAAATCTGCACTCGACGGAGCTTCAGAAATCGAAGAGGCGCCTGCTCAGAAATCGAAGAGGCGTTTGCTTTCTCAAAAGCTGGGCTGCTTAGAGATCACGAGGGTTGATCTCAGAAATCGAAGAGGCGTTTGCTTTCTCAAAAGTTGGGCTGCTCAAAGACCACAAAGGCTGATCTCAGAAATCGAAGAGGCGCTCGCTTTCTCAAAAGCTGGGCTCCCCAGAGACCACGAGGGCCGATCGCAGAAATCGAAGAGGCACCTACTTTTCCAGCCTTGTCAGCACCTGTCACACGCACACTCAGCTTTGCGGAAATTATGGGCATTCTGTCAAAGACTTCTGGGGAAGTAGAAAACACATGAATCTTACTGTTCAATCACCCACTTCCCACACGCAACAATAGCTCATGGGTACCACAGAAAACTTTGCCAAAGTTCTTTGCCAAAGTTGAGCACGTGAAGCTTGCAGCTCCCACTACATCGCTCTGACCAAGAAGGGTAAAAGAATAGCAAAGAAACAACACTAACAAAGTTTAGACCCATAAATTTTGAAGGTCTAGCTACCATATTATTACCCACAAGGGTAAAGGAACAGTACCACTGCTGGATAATTGGAAAGTCCCTGTGTGTCAACCTCTGTGCTTCGTGGCAAGGTAGACTAGCAAACAATGCCCAACCTTTACTCATATTCGAGAAAACACTCCCAATAAGATTGCTTGCTCCAAAATCGAAGAGGCACCGTCCTCTGAATCTCGAGAGCCAGACTCCCAACATGACTACTTTCTTAAAAATCGAAGAGAGGGTAAAGGAACAGTACCATTGCTGGATAATTGGAAAGTCCCTGTGTGTCAACCTCTGTGCTTCGTGGCAAGGTAGACTAGCAAACATGCCCAACCTTTACTCACATTCGAGAAAACACTCCCAACAAGATTGCTTGCTCCAAAATCGAAGAGGCACCGCCCTCCGAATCTCGAGAGCCAGACTCCCAACATGATTACTTTCTCAAAAATCGAAGAGACACTGCTCCCCGAATCTTCGAGAGCCAGACCCCCAGCATGATTGCTTTCTCAAAAATCGATGAGGCATCGTTCTCCGAATCAATCGAAGAGGCGCTCGCTTTCTCAAAAAGCTGGGCTGCTCAGAGACCACGAGGGCCGATCTCAGAAATCGAAGAGGCACCTACTTTTCTAGCCTTGTCAGCACCTGTCACACGAACACTCAGCTTTGCAGAAATTATGGGCATTCTGTCGAAGACTTCTGGTGAAGTAGAAAGCACATGAATCTTACTGTTCAATCACCCACTTCCCACACGCAACAATAGCTCATGGGTACCACAGATAACTTTGCCAAAGTTCTCTGCCAAAGTTGAGCACGTGAAGCTTGCAGCTCCCACTACATTGCTCTGACCAAGAAAGGTGAAAGAATAGGAAAGAAACAGCACCAACAAAGTTTAGACACATAAATTTTGAAGGTCTAGCTACCATATTATTACCCACAAGGGTAAAGGAACAGTACCACTGCTGGATAATTGGAAAGTCCCTGTGTGTCAACCTCTGTGCTTCGTGGCAAGGTAGACTAGCAAACATGCCCAACCTTTACTCACATTCGAGAAAACACTCCCAACAAGATTGCTTGCTCCAAAATCGAAGAGGCACCGTCCTCCGAATCTCGAGAGCCAGACTCCCAACATGACTACTTTCTCAAAATCGAAGAGAGGGTAAAGGAACAGTACCATTGCTGGATAATTGGAAAGTCCCTGTGTGTCAACCTTTGTGCTTCGTGGCAAGGTAGACTAGCAAACATGCCCAACCTTTACTCACATTCGAGACAACACTCCCAACAAGATTGCTTGCTCCAAAATCGAAGAGGCACTGCCCTCCGAATCTCGAGAGCCAGACTCCCAACATGATTACTTCCTCAAAAATCGAAGAGACACTGCTCTCCGAATCTCGAGAGCCAGACCCCAGCATGATTGCTTTCTCAAAAATCGAAGAGGCATCGTTCTCCGAATCTCGAGAGCCAGATACCACAGACCACTTTTTCAAAGTGCTCTGACAGAGTTAAAACATGTGAAACTGGCAGCTCCCACTACCGTGCTATGACCAAGCAGGGTAAAGGAATAGCATTACTACTTGTTAGGGAGACTCCTATATATGTCGACCCCCATCCCCAACGGACAGGCAGACCTGCAAAAATGCTCAACCCTTCATCATATCTGAGAGGGCACTCCCCAACGAAGCCTTTCGAAATATTCAGCTTTCTTTCCCCCCGATAATACCTCTGCAAACAAGCTATACTAGAGCAAGAATATCTCATATCATCAGGGTTAAAAGCAAGAGTATCTCATATCATGCTTTTTCCCTGTCTTTTCCTTTGGCCTTGTTTTTACCTGCAAGACAAGGAGAAAGAGAGCAATCAGTCAGCACTTGGAATCAAGCTTCCAGCCAGGATCTGACTGCCTGGAACCCCTTACCTGATTACTTACCTGGCATTGCTCTCGAGTACTCATCTTCAACATCTTATGTTTCCAGGGAAGATTCCGCATTTGCTTGAGGAACAGATAGGGCAAGTGCGAAGGATACAAGGAAGCATGTGGAGACAAGCGTAACAGCACACGTGCCGATACATCCATTACTCTGTCAAAAGCAAAAGTATCCCATATCAGCAGGGTGGAACGTACTCTAGATTTGATGGACTTGTTTTGACCCTCAAATTCTTCAGTCGGCCTTATACTCTGGAGGAAACCAGAAAACCCTCCAGCTCAGTTCAAGAATAAGCCTGTGGAAAGTTACTTCTTCAAAAGCAAAAGTATCTCATATCATCTCTTCTCATTTTTCTTCTCTTTATCCTTCATGCTGCTGCAAGATGGGGAGAAGGTGAACAATCAGTCGGAGCTCTGATTGCTTACCTTGTCTGTCACCTCTTTCAGCAGACCCCCTAGCTCGGCGACTTGGGGGACTCCTACTACATGGTTTGTATCGCGCTTGACCAAGCCTGAAACTACAAGTAAGCTTCAAGTGAAATTGATACATTACCTTGTGCATCTCCACCAGTTAAAAGATACCACCCCTGGATGGAGGAAGAGTACTTCCAGAGAAGATGCCACATCTACCTATGAGACAGATAAGGCAAGTCAAGACGACTCCACACTCCGATACTTAGAAGTTTCGTGATTACGAGATCATTCTCCCACAATATTTCCTAATGTCATTTGTACTAAATCATTCACTTGTACTCACTAAAGGAGAGCTTGAACCTATGTACTTGTGTAAACCCTTCACAATTAATGAGAACTCTTCTATTCCGTGGACGTAGCCAATATGGGTGAACCACGCACATCTTGTGTTTGCTTTCCTATCTCTATCCATTTATATATTTATCCACACTAATGACCGGAGCAATCTAGCGAAAATCACAAAAAGCGACCGTTTTAGCTACCTAGGATCTATCTTGCAAGAGAACGGAGAATTAGATGGAGATCTCAACCATAGAATACGAGCTGGATGGATGAAGTGTAAGAATGCATCCGGCGTGTTGTGTGACCGTCGTAGGCCACTGAAGCTCAAGGGAAAATTTTATAGGACGGCAATAAGGCCAGCGATGTTGTATGGCACAGAATGTTGGGCGGTGAAGCATCAACACGTACACAAAATGGGTGTAGCGGAGATGAGGATGCTTCGTGGGATGTGTGGGCACACGAGAAAGGATAAGATTGGGAATGAGGATATCCGAGGTAAAGTAGGAGTAGCCGAAATTGTAGGAAAGATGAGAGAAAATCGGCTCCGGTGATTTGGACATGTGCAAAGAAGGCCAAATGACGCTCCGGTTCGAAGATGTGACTACGGGACAGAGGTTCAGGGCCGAAGGGGTAGAGGAAGACCTAGGAAAACTTTGGAAGAGACTCTAAGAAAAGACTTAGAGTACTTGGATCTAACGGAGGACATGACACAAAACCGAGCACAATGGCGTTCTAGGATTCATATAGCCGACCCCACTTAGTGGGAAAAGGCTTTGTTGTTGTTGTTGTTGTTGTTGTGGTGATTACAATAGCAGGATTCAAATGTTAAGATTATTGACCTCTTTCCTGCAATTTTGAAGCATCCTTTTCCCCTTGGGAATTGTCACCGTCTTTGTCATTTTCTGTCTTCACAGTCTCTTCCACGTCAGTTCCTAAAACCAAAAGGTAGTAAGAAAACAAAACAAATTTGCAGAAGAAGTAATTGAGACTATTAAGAACCTTCTGGAAACAGAGGAAAGATGCAAAATAGATGAGAAGTGAAGGCATGACGTGAGGGATGAAGAAGAGAGGGAGGAGAATGCATAAGTAAATTAATTTAAAAGTGTTTTCAGTTTTTATTTACTAAAGTAGTCTATGTATTTTAGTCCTCTCTTCGTCAACTCTATCATCTTTTTTATCACTTTCTTCTACCTTTTCCTTCTGTATTTTTAATTACAAACAAAAACATTACCAAGCAAACCATAGGGTATTTTCATTTCAAATCAAAAGTAAGATGAGTAATACTAACCTTGATTAGTCTTTGGCCTTCGTTGTTCAAGCGGAGCACGATGCATGGCATGTTTAGCTGCTATTTTTCGACCTCCAATGGACAAACCATTCTTCAGCTCAACAGCACGATTAGCATCTTCTGTTACAGCACTACAAATAGATGCAAAATACAAAAAAATAAAAAGTGTTCAAAAGTTTGTAACCACAAACCCAATTTCATAGGCTCATATTGCTGCCATATTCCTAAGCTAAAACTCCTGAAGAAACCCTTCAATCCTCAAAAACATGTCAATAAATTTCAAAACAATTTTTTTATCTTATTCTTCATTATTTTTTTCAAGCAACAACATTTTATACTAAGGGCTAGGGGGATTTGTGCTAGGACATAAAATGCGCCCGTCATAATAACGCGGTATTCTTGACAACAGAAAAAAATAATGTGGTATTGAACTTACCATCTACGGGAGTCAAACCTAAGACCTCCCATCTATAGGTGAAGAGGAATACTACTAGACCCTAATACTAGTGGCCATCATGATTTACCATAAAAAGTAAAAGAACTAGCCTAACTTGGGGAACATAACAATAAAAAAAATGATACATAATAAGGGAAAAACAATGAACTTGACTTACAATTGAACAAAACCAAAACCATGGTGCTCAGTTGACCCTGTAAACAATATAACGAGAAAGATTAGAAAAGTTTTGACTTAACTGCTAAAAACCAAGTTAAATCCATGAAATAAATAATAAAAAATAAAAAAGTAACTGATAACCAAGATAAGAAAATGAAAATCATATGACTCATTTTGAAAAACGTTATTGATCAAGCTTCTTCTTGGTGTGTTCAATCATTTCCACAATCCCGCATAGCAAATAATTTATAAGACAGACATGTTTCATGTTGTTTTGTTTAAAGCATGCTTGTACCTCATACCCAGAGTGATTTTACTTCACCTGATAATGGTGTTTGGGGAGAGATTTCCAATTTTTTGATCTTGGTAATTTACTGTTCTGTTGTTTAATTCAATATGAGGGAAGGAATTGCTCTTTGTGCTCATGTAGGGTTCCTATATTACTGTTGGCCACTCACTGGTGATCCTTAAGTAAAGGCATGGGGTCAAAGCAGATTTGGAGGAAACTCCCCATACAACTGATCAGCTCAGTCTCTTCTGTTCCTAAAAAGCATTTGAATATAAAGCCCTTCTTAAAGCAAGTATAGTTCTAGCACTAGGGCATACCTATAAAGTTAACACTCAAATATCACCTCAAGGCTCAAGCTGGAAAAAAGTTCTGGCTGCGATTGGAGTTGAGAAAGCTAGTGGCCCTAACTACTGAAGCTTTCACTAAAAGAATGAGAATCAAGGTGACCTGAAGGAATCCATGGACGGGCAAGTTCTATAGCATTTCAAATACAAGAAAAGATTCTACTTGAGGTTTAAGTAGGCAAATCTTTGTAAGATACATAACGATCAAGGGACCAATCAAGAAAGGATAGTAATTCTAGGACAAAAAACACCTACACAAAGGGTGTATGTGAAGAGATGTTAATAGATGGCAGACCCTCTAATCTCCGTCTCCAACTTGAAGAAGACTAGGATCAATTTACACCTTACTTAGCAAGGAGATGGGGACCACTATGAATATAATGAGAGTGACGCCTCCAATGAGTACGATGAGAGATGGTTAAGGGCTGGTTTGGTATTGCTGTGCTTTGAAAAAAAGCTGCTGTAAGAATAAGCAGCTGTGCTGTGAGAATAAGCGGCTGTGAAATAAATCAGCAGAGTGTTTGGTAAACTTTTTTGTAAAAGTGCTTTTGGAAAAAAAAGCAGTTGATAGTGGATCTTTTCATTAAAGGAGCACTGGAGCTCTGTGTGCTTTGAAAAAAAGCCAGTTTTCCAAAGCTGCAAATAGTAGCTTCAGCTTTTTCCTTTGATTTCAGCTTATTCTCATAGCAGCTTCCAAAATAAGCCCTTTTTTTTCAGTTTACCAAACACCTAAAACCCTCACAGCTTTTTTTCATGGGTGCTTTTTTTTTAAGAACCTCACTCCCAAACCACCCCTAAGCCTAACCTGAGCTAGAGAATCTCCTTTCTATTTTTGGGTTTCTTTTCCTTTTAAGTGCTAACAAATACTACATGGGGTTATATAGGGTGGACATGTTGTCAGTTCTAAAACCTTGTTTTAGCAAGGGAGGATTGCTTTCTGAAGATGGTGTTGTGATGATCCAACACAGCAAATTCTAATCGGATTTTGGGGTGTGCTACTACATTGGGGGTTGGCCAAGTAATCAAACTTGAGCTCTGAGCCTTATTGATTGCATTGAAGTATATTCTGCAGGCGATGTGGCTTTGATACAACACAGGCAGATAAGTACCATCCCAACAAAGCCACACAAAACTAATCATGGGATGCAGAAAACTTATCCAAAAACATTGGAACCACCCCGTACATATGCTGTTAGTTAATTTGGTTTCTTATAGGCCTCTGGCCCCCTCCTTAGAAAAATTAAATATTACCCCCTCCTTAGAAAAATTAAATATTAACAAGACCACAGGAAACAAGTAAAGGTTCTCCGAAAAACACAAGTTGTTAGAACTACAAATCAAATAGTAAAGTTCCAATTTTTGCAACATTTTGGGATTACCCTTCTTCATAACCAAAAAGCACCTCCTAATCGGTCCAATGTCGCTGAACGTCTCTTCCAGCTGAAATTCAAAAGAAAAACAAACAAATTAAACGGACTTTGCATTACGAAAACAGCACAGAATATTACAATTTCAGTAAGGGAAGAAATAAAGACGCAAAATAGGGGTGTGGGGGGAAAAGAGAGAGCACCTGAGATTTGGTGAAAGAAAAGGGGAGGTTGGAGACGAAGATAGTGGAGGGGGAGTGCTCGCTTTCGGTTCTCGGTCGGCCGCCATCGCCATCTTTGCTTTTCTTCTTCCCCATCTCTGTTTTGTTTTGGTTGGAGAGAGTGCACGAATGGAGGAAGCAGCTATATGGATCACTGACCTTAAACCTCAGGAGGGAAACAGAGGAGGGTTTATGAGGGTTGAGGGTTGATTTTGGGCCTGGCCCATTACAAATATGGTGTTGGACTGGGAAGATATTGAAGTGGGCCTAAAACAAGGGAGTTATTTATGCATACATGTCAGATTGTGGTTGGCAGGAACATAAGAGTTCTTGCTTCCAAGAAAGGTGCCACATGGTCCTTTTTAAAACGGGTGGTGTTATACATGTTGAATTAACACAATTACTCCACTTGTTTTTCATAACAAAAACCAGTATTCCATATTCTTTTGTTTTGTAATACTCATTAAGATGACACTCTTAAGAGTACGTTTGTGAATGACTTTGGCACTACTAAAATCACTTGCAGGAGTGATGTTTAAGTGATTTTATGAAGAAGCATACAAAAAGGTGCTTCTTCTTGCAAGTGATCATGTCGCTCTCATAATAAGTTATTTACCACTCTAAACGAGTCTTAAACAAGAGTGACCACATTGACAAATATAAAAACCGAGTATGGGGATTTGAACTTGGATGTAAAAGGAAGAGCACACTAAAGTTATCTGTATTTGAAAATAGGAATTCGAACTTAGATGTAAAAAGAAGAGCACATTGTTTTAATTAATTTGGCTCGGTACAAATATGTTAAAACCAATTAACTATTGAATTAGAGTCAAGCAGTTGATGACCATGATTTTTGTAGTCGAATGATGATCTTTGAAGTACTTGTGATTGATGGACACCATTTTATCCATATAGAATGCAATTCTTCCCTTTTCAAGTATGAGGATTAAATTAGATGGTATCACGTGCTGTACCCTAAATAGACACTTTGAAACACGTGGTACAAATAAGTAAATAACGCAAAACATTGTCGTCTACAAAAATTTCAGCTTACATGGGAAAACATTGTGATGGTTAGTCCTTCCCTTTTGTCTACCTATTTTCAGGTACATGGTGACTCACGATTAAATGATCATAGGTCCAATATATTTTCATGTAATTCTATTGTTTGAGGATAATATCGATGATTATTTTTTATTGTTATTGATACGTTAAAATAAATCATGTTTTCTTCTAAATATATATAATTATAATTCAAAATATCAATGTTCTAAATGTTCATGCCTAGTGACACACCCAGACCCGGAATGTCCACTAGGACTTCGAATCGAGCTGCGTTGGCCGACACCTGGAAGGTGACGAAATCATAAAGTGTGAGGATGTGGAAAAATGTGAATAAATTTAAACCTAAGAGTGCCTAAATACCAGAAGGCGCTGGTGAGCGAGAATAAATTCATTTCACACGTGACGTTAAAGCATAAGTAAAGTAAAGTGGATTAAGAATCGTACCCTCAAAAGAATCTCCAATACTAAGAATCGCCACGAATCTTCAACGATAAGAAAGCTCAGCTAATAAAAACTGGAGGGTGAAAACCAAAACAAGGGTGAGTGGCCCTAGAAATGAAATTTTAATAGAAACCATCTACAACATTCTAACCCCTCGCTGCAACACATGTATAGTTTCCAGAAAATCATATCACGTATCAATGTGAAATCCAAAGTATATCAATAGTAAACCATAAATATACCACAACACAGCATCTCATCAGCAAAATCAATAATCATGTGATTAATAACCCATACTAGCACGCAAGTCGGAGTCACCTATGGTGACCCGTACTACTTATCCATATCTCATCACATATGCTAGCTCATAAGTCGGGAGTCACCTATAGTGACCTATACAACTTATCCATATCTCATCACATATGCTAGCTCATAAGTCGGGAGTCAACTATAGTGACCTGTACGACTTATCTATATCTCATCAGTATGCTAGCTCATAAGTCGGGAGTCACCTATAATGACATATACGACTTATCCATATCTTATCACATATGCTAGCTCATAAGTCGAGAGTCACCTATAGTGACATGTACAACTTATCCATATCTCATCAGTATACCTGCACACGAGTCGAAACCACTTAAGGTGGTATGTACGACAGGACTGGGTGTAAACAAATACGCTCAAGTGCTATAATCACATGAAGACTGTGCGAATAATCGCGGGTCACCTACGAGTCAGAACCACCTAGTGGTCTATACGACAGGCATGTGCACCTACCTTGGATCCAAGATGAGCGTAAGGTGCGAAAGGTGAACATCACGTGAAGGACTGTGTCTTGGCCATATGCGGGAGCACTAACACCGGGGTGCAGGTTTATGAGCTCTAAATGCATCTCATGTGACATATACAACTCATAGGCAACTTGTACGACAATGTTGGAGTTGCCTAAAACATAATGTGATCATGCCATAACTCAATCATTTCAACTAATACCATAACTCACCTAAACTTACCTGTGGGTTCCACGTTCATCTTCGCACTTCAAAGCATTCATAATAATTTTGTGCAGGTAGTATACACGTGGATATGCCATAATGCAATCTAAAACTCAACCATATCATAGTATTTTTCCAATATATATAATGTGGCGCAAAATGCACAATCCATAACGCCCTACTCCCGAATTATTTATTTTCGGAAATGATTATCGGGGATAAGTCCAACTAAACACTAGTTTAATTAACAATCATTACTTACGTTTCCTTATTTTAGTTTCTTGATTCCTTCCACATTGATTTATGACCAACATCCAATCACTAAAAACATAAGGTTAAATCTCATATTTTCACCAATTTCCTTCACATTGCTCAATTCCCAAACAAGGTTTTTGTTTCAAATATTGTATGGCTGCATCTAACGTCTTGTTAGACTGCCTACGTACCCTAAATATGGATCAAGTCATTCGTAGTTCACATAGTACTTCAAAGCATTCACAGTAATCATAAGCAATAATCAATTTATAAACATTTATGGAATTGTCAATCATATTTATACATATATAATACGCGATAAAATGGAAAAGACCAGGTCCGTGCCATGACTCTCTAGCACGCATGTAGAGACATCACGAACCATCGTCGCCTATGACCAATTATCAAATCACATCTCAGAGTTCTGATCGATAAAATACATAATTTACATCAAACGTAATTCAATTCGGAAGATCTGCATCACGGATTTCCAATATTTTACTTCCAAATATTCAAATTATACTTCTAGAACAACATCCTAAGGTTTCATTATGATCTAACGGTCGGATCTCCGCCAATTGCCAAAACTAAGTGGCGGTTAACCTTTTATTTCATGAACTTACAAATTCAATTCGGGAAGATCCATATATCGGACTCCCGATCTGTAAGTTCCTATGGTCCTCAAATATTATTTACTAAAACATATTAAAGTTTGGTGACAATCTAACGGTCGGATCATCGATTCATACAATGACCTATTAATGTATCGTAGAGAATTTGGATTCCAACGACCAACCTACATCATTCAAATATCAAAACTAAAATCAAGATATTTAACATAACTTAAAAATAGCATTGGCGGCCCACTGGCCGCGTGCCGCCACACGTGCCGCCGCGGTGGCAGTCGACCGCCCCGACTCACCGGAAAATCCAACTATTTCCAAAAATTACCAAAGTTTATAGGAATGAAGATCTCAATGATTAGAGTAAACTTTATACCTGCAGTTAAGTTTAATTTGGCCTGGAAAAGCTCCAATTTAGCTAAAATTCGTCAGAACCCTAAATGTGGGTGTGCTTAGATTCTTCCTCCTCGATGATCCGCCGCCCCTACAACTGATTGGGTTTTGTTCCATACCTCAAGGGAAGTCTAATGGTGGTTGAGATGGGTGTGATTAGTTTCATATTTAGGTCAATTGAACCCAAACCCGCCACACCCCTCTGTGCGGTTTCTCCCAATTTCAAAGCCAAAACCCTTGATTTTAGGGGTGTAATAGGAAGAGGGAAGGTCATGGAGGGTTTTACAAGGTTGGTTTGATGCAATTCGTCAGAAAAATGGGCCAAAACCCTTCGGAAATGGCAAGAACACCGACCGGGTCAGGTTACCAATTTGTGGGTTGTGATTCTCCGTTTCTCCCTTCTCTCCTTTCTCCTTCTTTCTTCTCTTCCTGATTGGTCAGACTCTCCTCCCTCTTCTCCTGGTTGGTCCATCCACACTCCTAGCTTTCATTCCTCCCATCCCTTTTTTCGATTAGGCAACAACCCTTTTTCCTCTCTCTTTTTCCTTTACAGCCACTCACGTGGCTCCCAAAAACCAAGTCACAAAAATATTTCCCAATTATGAAATTTATCTATTTGACTTCAGTACTCAAAGTCTCATAAAATTTTATCCATAATTCTGCTTTCGCTTCTGCTTATGCCTACGCGTTCGTATCGTCGAGTACTTCGAGAGTACAACAAATAATAACACGTACGAGTTACTAAAATATGGTAAACTAAAGTCAATGACCTCGTTTCTAGGGTATTTTCATCAATTCTCTCGATTAAAATAAATAGAAAACAAAATTTTTGGAACGGGTTGTCACACCTAGCACGGCTTAGGTCCCGCCTAAACATTAGACAGCTGATTACTGTCACGATTAATCCCTAAGCATTTAACAAAATAGGAAAAGGGAGCTTAGATTTGCCTAGGCACCTGCCTAGGTCACGACTCTCACTAAGACAGAAAATAGATAACTTCAATTTTGCATTTTATTTTTTCAATAAATTGTAAGAGATTTGTTAAGATACTTAGGTGAACAATCATTATATGCTCGTTCCCCATGTTTTGAATATGTTCTAATACTTTATAATTTGTATGTCATTCTACTTTGCAATTTATAAGTCCTAATACAATTATGTATTTTTTTAGGTATAACTAGACATTTATTTATGTGGTATATAATATATTTAATTAAAATTAAAAATTCGCCTAGGCTCCCGCCTAGACAACTAGGTGCTAAACCCTGCTCACCTAGGCTCCCACTCAGACGACTAGGCACTAAACCCCTACTCGCCACCCAACCAACACTTAGCGTTTTCTAGAACCTTGAAAAATACACTTAGAAGGAGTATACAATG